TTTGGGCACCCGGGCAGTATCACAGCCCACACACAAATTGATGAACTCTTTATGCCTATGGAAATTACCTTTCTCGCTTTGAAAAACAAACAATTGATTAAGATTATTATCATTACAATTATTGTCATTATTAATACTAATATTATTATTACTACTATTATTGTCATTATTGTTATTATTATTATTATCCACATTATTCACCCTCTTTTATACTTATACAGCGGCTCGTCTTTGGTGGAAATTCGACTGTATCTAAACGTTCTCGAGTCACTGTCCGATTGAAAATTGTATGTTACCACCGAATACGAGGACTGAAGCAGTTTTTCTGAAACCACGTGCACCATTCAAACTGGCTGCCTTCAACGTTAGCACATTTATGCAGGTCGGACAACAGATAGGGCTGGCTATGTCTTTGGAAAGTCTTAATATTGATGTTTGTTGTCTATCCGAGACCCGTATTCAAGACTCTGGCGAAGTACTACAAATTCGATCTCCATCTGTCGCTTCGAAAAGCTTGTTTTACGTGCGCTTATCCGGGGACCCTGTGGCATCTTCGTCTGGTCTTGCAGGCGTTGGTGTCGCACTAAGCGCTAGAGCTGAGGCAGCACTAGTCGATTGGATCCCCATTAACAGTCGGTTATGTGCTGTTAGATTAGAAAGTTCCATCAAGGTGAGAAGAAATCGGCGTGAGAAACGATGTCTTTTCGTCATCTCCGCCTATGCCCCGACAGATTGCAGCCCGGATGCAATCAAGGATGAGTTTTACCACCAGTTATCAGTTCTTCTCCAGAAAGTGTGTTCGACAGATATTGTAGTACTAGCCGGAGACTTGAATGCTCAGGTCGGGCGTCTAGGCACAGAAGAGAGTCGTTTAGGTGGCCGATGGGGACTCGTTGGTCGCAGGTCAGATAACGGGGACCGTCTACTGCAACTTTGCACAGACCACAACCTGTTTCTGGCAAGCACTAACTTTCTGCACAGTCATCGCCGATGTGCCACCTGGCGTCCTCCCTCTGCATCCCAAGCCTGGACTCAGATTGATCACATCGCGATCAGCTACCGCTGGCGTGGTTGTGTACAAGACTGCCGCTCCTTTTGGAGTACCTATCTGGACTCTGACCATGCCTTGGTCTGCGCCAATCTTACCTTGCTTTTCAGTGAACAACGAAGTGACTGCCAGCAAAGGATTGATATTAGCAAGATGGTTGCAACTTCTGTTGCAAATAAGTATCGAACCGAGCTACCCTCTAGGCTAGCTACCACTCCACCGAAAAGTATAGATGAGCATTGGTTGCAATTGCATAACGCCATGAAAATGGCGGGAACAGTCAGTTGTGGGTTTGCGAAACATCCCGCTTTTAAGCACTGGGTTTCTTTTGTTTCCTTACAACTCATTGAAGCCCGTCGGTCTACTCCGGGTGACCGTGAGTTTGACCATAAACGAAGGATGTTACGTAAGGAAATTGGGCAAAGCTTGCGTAAGGACCGAGAAGCCTGGTGGTCGATGCGTGCTAATGAGCTGGAAGCAGCAGCTGCATCTGGTAACTACCGGAAGCTCTTCCAGCTCATCCGAGCCACTGGCAGCAAGAAGTCTGGTGTGAGTGAAACAATCTGCGAGGATGATGGGATGCCAATCACTAACATCCATCGACGTCTTGGACGGTGGGCAGAATTTTTCGAAGGGCAGTTCAACTGGCCTGCTGCTCCGGCAACATCGGTCAGACTGTCCTGCCCTCCATGGCCGGTGACGACTGATCCACCAAATGAGGAGGAAGTCCGGAAGGAACTCCAACTCTTGAAGCGTTAAAAATCACCTGGCCCAGATGACTTACCTCCGGCTCTTTTTAAAGATGGTGGTGACTTTTTGACTAAGGAATTGACGACGTTGTTTACAAAGGTTTGGGAACTAGAGAGTGTACCAACGTCATGGAATGAGTCGATAGTTGTCCCTATCTTTAAAAAGGGTTCACGTCGTTCCTGTAACAACTATCGGGGGATACGTTTACTTCCGATTGCGTCCAAGCTATTGGCTTCCGTCATTCTTCGTAGGTTGTTCAAAACCCGAGAAAGATTGACTCGCGAGGAGCAGGCTGGGTTTCGTTCTGGTCGAGGATGTATTGATCATATCTTCACCCTCCGCCAAATGTTAGAACACCGCCATACTTTTAAAAGGCAAACAATCGTAGTGTTTCTTTACATCACGGCTGCCTTCGATTCGTTGGATAGGACTGTTCTTTGGTATTGTCTATTGAAGAAGGGTGTGCCTGAGAAGTTTATTAACATCTTGAAAGCCCTATACACAAACACCTCGGTTAGAGTGAGGGCATACAACCACCTCTCTCCATTGTTCCATTCGAGTAGTGGGGTTAGGCAGGGTTGCCCAATCTCACCATTCCTCTTCAACTTTGCCATCGATGACATTCTGGAAACAGCTCTGATGAATGTAAGTAATGGTGGTGTGGATCTGTTGCCTGGAGAAAGACTTCTCGACCTTGAGTATGCGGACGATATTGTCTTACTGGGCGATAATGCCCAAGGCATGCAATCCGCACTTAATCAGTTGGCAATCAGTGTCCGTAGGTATGGTATGTGCTTTGCACCTTCGAAGTGCAAAGTACTTCTACAAGACTGACAGGATTCTAATCCTATACTCACCCTGGATGGTGAGCAGATAGACGTAGTTGAGAAGTTCGTGTATCTGGGTAGCTGCATAAGTGCTGGTGGGGGTGTGAGTGATGAGATCAATGCACGAATAGTGAAAGCCAGAGCGGCTTATGCCAATCTGGGCCACCTTTGGCGCCTCTGTGATGTTAGTCTGGCTGTAAAAGGCCGGATCTACAACGCGTCGGTGAGAGCAGTTTTGCTCTATGCTTGTGAAACCTGGTCTCTCCGAGTTGAGGACGTTAGACGACTCTCTGTGTTCGATCATCGCTGTCTCCGAAGGATTGGTGACATTCAGTGGCAACACCATGTCAGTAATGCAGAGGTTCGGCATCGTGTGTTCGGGCACAGAGATGATAATTCAATTGGTGTCACCATCTTGAAACACCGACTTCGGTGACTTGGACGTGTTCTACAAATGTCGTCCCAGAGAATTCCACGTAGTGCATTATTTGCCGACTCTGGGACTGGTTGGAAGAAGCGGAGAGGTGGTCAGTGCATGACATGGTGTCGTGGTATGAAAGAAAGCTGCAAAGGACTGGCTTCTGTCGGTCCTTCACGACTCCCTGGTTGGGGTCTGAGAGATGGTGCTACACAGTGGCTAGAGACGTTATCAGATATGGCTCAGAATAGAAGCCAGTGGCGATCCTGCTGTAACCTTCTTTTACTTTCTTCATAAAAAGTGGTTGTGTCTCCTTTACCTGAAAGATTTCTTCTGATTGTACCTTTTCGTTCCGTCGTTACTACCACACTACCTCACTCCAATCTCTTCGTCATTGTTCTCTTTTTCTTTTGCGCTCCTTAGTTTTTTTTTCTACTTCTCTTCGAATTCTCATTGTTTTGTGTGGCGCATATATATTGGCGCCCTCTTGTACCAATATTCATGTGTTCAAATAAATAAATAAATAAATATAGCTCGGTTGGGTCATCACGATAGGCAAGCCCGACCACCGCATCAAGGTAGCAGCTTCGGTCGGGGAAACATAAAACTGTCAGAAATGACCAATTGTGTACGTGAGAGTATAAGTGTACTCAGTTTAGGAAACTAAATGCAATCTTTGGAACCAACTCGACAATATTAGTTACTTAAATGAGTTGTAAGGGAAGACCTAAGTTTAAAAAAACTAAGCAAAATAACAATTAGCTGATCATCATTTCTCAAGTCAACCAGAAAGTTATCAAATTGGCTTCTATTTGTTCATACTATGATTGTTCATAACCGATGAAAACACCCCAAAACTCCTTATCTTACGTAGGGTATATGTTGTATAAATTCTTACTTCTGGGGTCACATCTTAGATCTATGTATCTGTTTTTTTATTTCTAAACATAATCTGAGGGGTTGAAGAGTAATACGAGATGAAAATTAGAACTCCTGATGTCTTGTTTTAATTATTAATTACTTATTTAAACACATCAACATTGGTACGGAGGGGGATCAATGTAAATATACTCCACACAAATCATCGAACTTTTGTGTTGTGGGATAACGCTCAGGCGCCCAAACCGAAACAGGTGATTTTCTTAGGAGACCACACCCCGAGTATTTGACTTAAAGATCTGATTCATAAGGCAGTGAAGCAACTTTAGGAGTTGTAGTCCCATGGTAATCGGTGACCAAGAATAGGTTAATACGCCATTTGTCCCCTCAGGATCCTGGAGCCCATGTGCATCATTGATTCGGAATCAAGATTTTCCAACTCTACTAAATGGACCCTCTGTACCTACTAACCCGGTTAAAGAGCTGGACATTTGCTTTTCGTCCACTGGATTCTGTAAACAACATCTCCGTCACGAGAAGGTAGAGGGTAAAACTTCTATTACAGTGACTAGATGAGAGTATTTAAACAGGGAGAGCGAACTTTCCTCAACCTCGGCTGCACCAGGACATTTGGAGGCACGTTGGTAAAAAAAATAGATGTGATACAAAATTTTGAGAAGTTTACGATGAACTATCTATATATTTCCTTCGACCTTAAATCAAAGAAAATGACTCTCGTTGTGTAATTGAAGGGAGTTATGGTTTAGTTCAACTGACTTCAAGTTTTCAAGCAAAATCATTTGAAGAATTGTTTCCCACTAAAATTGAAACCTTTGCCAAGAAAACATAAACAAGGAATGAAGCACACATAGGTTAATTAGATTTGAGTATTCTGACTGAGTCGGATTTTGTTCAACGGTTTGATGAATGTTTAGAAGACTGGTGATGCATAAAGACGTAGATTAGTAAGGGGTAGAAACTAATCTGATTACATGTAAAGAGTTAATAAACTTTATCGGATTAAAAACACTCATAACTGCTAATGACAAACCGTGTTTATTAAGTTTTAATTACTTACCACTTGGAACCACTGAACTCGTCTCAGATGCTGTTGTAGTAACAACCAGACTTCCATCTGCATTATAACGCTTCGGAATAGCAAGACTCACTCGAATCGGTTTATAGCCTAAACCACAATAATTTTGCATTTCAATCAACGCTTTATCCATATCAGATTCAGTGAGGAAACGAACAAAACCGTATCCACGAGACTTGCCATTTGTCATCACAACTATTAATTACAATGATTAATAAGAACACACTTCTACAATGATAGTTACCTTTAGCTGAACGGCATGTTGGGTATTTTTTAAAAGCATTGAATAAAGCAAGATCATCAACATCTTCTGTTAGTTCACCAACAAATAACGAACATTCATTACTAAAAGGATTAATATTATCCAATAGATCCATACCTAGAAGTGCTATCTTTCCCGTAACTAGCGTGATTAAGTTTAAATCTTCTGGTCTATAAAAAAATTAAAGTAATCAAATAAATTTAAAATGTTCTTATCCACAAAAAGCGGGTTACAACATGAAGTTAGTTTTCATTACAGAGTGATATCAAACCCAGATCAACAGTGAGAACTAGGAAAGACTGGGCAGTTGTATCGTCCTAGTTCGGGACTTCTTATTGACTTATACCACATCAAACCCACAGCTTTCAGGTTTTATCAGGAGTACAACAATTTTAGACCAGCAATGTGTAGGGATACAGTGGTTCACATTTGCAATTGAAATAAACTTAAGATACTGCGCGATTATAACTATTAATTGCAACGTGATATCTGTCACACCCGATAAGACTGAACTCAGTAAGCAACAAGTATATTATCGTAGACCACGGCCCAAAAATTAACGCATTCAACGCAAGGTATAGGCTGACAGTCTAAACCGAGTGGAGTAGTCGGCGAGCACTGCTGAATAATCTGTGTTAAATGCTACCTGGTTTTTAATGGTTCTCTAACCGATACCAAACTGTAGTAAAAGCTAGCTTCAAATTCAATAATCCACCATCCTAGTGAAACACAACGATTCTTCTAATAAGATAACAATTATATTGTGATTTTTAAAGGCGATGTAAATAAATCACTTTAATACAAATTATACTGACTTTACTAAACTTTCTTAGTTGTATTTTTGACTGAACGACATCTTACATATTTTTTTACTTATTTATCGATCTCTATTTTATTATTTTCATTGTGCTTCCATTCCTTCCTCTATTTCTTCAAACTCTATCATTTCTCCATTGTGGTGCCCGACAGTACAAGAATTTATATGTAGTAAGGATAAAACATTATGTGTTCTAATTTTCACAATGGGAATCTTTAATAAAAACATTAACTTTACAAGCATCTTAGAAATTCTTCAAATAACTATTATCTGCCGTTAAGATTAGCCAGAAGGATTTGATGTGACAGGTTTATGAAAAGACACCATGAAATTAAGGACAAATGTACGATGAAAATGTCCACTGATATATTACAACTAATTAGTAGTAGTTCCAATAATATTGAAACTTAGTGGTTGTTAAGAACAACTTGAAGTCTAACTCAGCATAATATATGCATTCATCCTTATTACTTTGGTCTAATAAATTAACAATTTATTATATGAACTTGATACATCTCATGATATTTCGTTGATCTATTCTGATTTTTTTCTACATAAAATGATAGTGATTTCTAAATAGCTTGAAATAGTGCAATGCTATGCCTGATACTACTTGAGTGAAACGGTCGGTTTATAGGTGAGGTGAATTAAAATGAGCCTTAAGTATAACATTAGCAAAACAATGTACCCGGAGATAAAAAAAACGTCAACCCATTGAAATCCCAGGTAGCGAAGATGAAAAATTAATAGTTCTGCTTTATTCAGATCACCAGGGACATTTGTATAATGAGCAGAAACTAATATGATGACAATAGTGCTGAAGCTGGAAAAGCGAATGAATTACTTTTGGTCGTTCATCCATGTCACATCCTATGACAACCCTATTAGATTAATATCATCCACTCATTAGATCACGCAAAAACCAACGAAATAAAACCGAATGAAAATCCACTGTTGAAATTCCAAAGATGAATGACGACCCGCAGCATATTTGCGTGGGAACTTGGTTGAAGACCTATCTTAGCATACCCTACGGTTGTTTAACTTCATAAATGTTAGTATAGAGTCACTATTTCTTATCCTTAAACGATATCAAAGTGGATAACGACCTCATAAAATCATATTGGAAAGAGATAATTCAAGGCGCTTAGTGAAAAATTCAGTCAAAAACGTACAATTTTGCATGCATATAGTATAAATGTTTGATCATCATGGGGGAATAATCAATTAGCTAATTTAAGTATTCATTGGAATGATGAATTTCTCGTGTATATAGAGCAGAAAATAATTTATTGATAAATATGAGCACAATCTTTTCTTGAGACATATTTAATGAACTAATAGTTCTTGATGAAAATCAGTGCTATATGCTCAAGAATCTTTGTACTTACAGTACAGTAACATAAATGTGATAAGACCGAAAGGATTATGATGAAGACGTTATGAAACCCAAATAGTCAAACATGAATTGCGATAATGATCAGAATAAAATGTCATTTGACATTTAGACTTTATTTGTCATGACTCAATTTATAGTAAAGAGTCTGCCAACTGAATGCTAACAGTGGTCTACAAAATATTGCAATATGCAACCTCATGAAATCTAAAACGATTTGTAAATACGTACAGAAACTTTTATTTAGTTTAAAATTAAGATTAAGCGGACGAATAATTCTAATAAAGCTTACAGGGGCTCCAGGAATGAGCTTGCCATTCAACTTAAGCATTGCATCTCTCGCAGATGTTGAGTTAGCAAACTCTATGAAACCATAACCAAGAGTTTGCCCAGTCGCCTTGTTTCGGATAACTTTTACACTCACTATATTTTCACCTGATGTTTCAAAGGCTCGTTTAATAAACATTTCATCCATGTAAGGTTCCAGCTAAAAAAGGAAAATGAATAAAACCAGACAAAACATACATCACCCATCCATATTGTATGGGAGAAATTCTGCATATTTTAAGGCAAGTTAGTAGGTATCCTCCTTGAATGTGAACAGGTTTGGTCGAGATTGGATTAGGTTTGAAATTAGTGACAGAAGTTTATTCCAATGACTCCAGAACCTATGAACGGAAATGAGAAAGTATATAACTTAGAAAGCATGTGCCCAAAATGTGATAACTGCAAACAATGTAAAGTTTAAAACAACCAGGCAAAGTTCATAACCAGATTAAAGAGAGAACCTAGCGTAACTAACCACATAGTGTTCACGTTTTGAGAACTGTTGGTAAAAAGGCGTTGTGTTGACCCAATAACTTCATGAAAAATTCAAACTATTGATGATAGTGTATATTACTTAAATAAACTTGAATGAAAATGCAACCATATGCTGTGATTCCAACTATAAACTAAAATGAGGTAATCAGTGAGAAACCTGAAACTTTGTGAAGTATGGCACCACGCCCGAAAGCTAGGTAATGGAGGGTAATGAAACATAACGATGTTGTTAATGACATTAATTTGATGTTGTCTGAGTTAATTTTTACAACGAAATGCCTATGGACCTACTGTCATATTTTCGAATGCTATCCCTGTCAAAGGTATACACTGTTAAATAGATAGAGATATATAATAAAGTTAGTGCCGGCACCGACTAACCTAGTTATATGAAATATGGATAGAGGAAATAATCAGGAGACGGCTGGTGTACACTTAAAACTTATAATTTTAATCCAGAAATATTTAGTTAAAGGATTACAAATTATGAAACTCGAATATGCCGTATGAGAACAGACAAAACTCATGGTGGTGTAAAACATAAGTATGAAGGAACACACTCAACAATGTATGAATGTAGAAAATAACACAGCACATCAGTAAACGAATGACATTTATTTTGTATACAATGATAATTATTCGTGAATACAAATTAGGCCCCATGCCACATTACTGGTCTCGGTATAATCGACATGACGATTTGAGTATTGAGGATCGAGTATTAATAATTATAATACTGTTAATTAGTGCTATAGCTGTAATGATTAAAAAATCGTGCTGTCCCAAACATATCTTCATACAATATTTCGATCCATGGATACATTAAACTTAAAACACTGAATACCAAGACCATATTATTCACCTTTGCGAACATGCCGTAGTCGATGAAACATAACTGAATAATATGATGCGCCTATGACTTACGATGAATGAAATGACCTATGACTGAAGAGAGGAATTAAATGGGGTGCACCTTGGGCGTTTTATACTAGTGACCTTAACTTCTACTAGATTTCCAATATCCAATATAATTGTGACGAGCTTGTATAAAATAAATTGATTGATTTCTTTGCTCTCGCTTTTTGTTTACTTACGCTTCCAAATACATGGTTATGTCTAATAGATAGTAGTCTAGCCACTCAACTGCGATGTTTTGAATCTCTGTAGCAGTTATTTGTGGATTTGTATAACTTGTAGTGAGTATGTTTGTCACATAATAAGAGGACAAATGTGATAATAAGAGACATAGACAGTATTTTCTGGTTGTGCAGTAGTGATAACTGAGGCAACTAATGATACATGCATTAGGCAGCTGGTCAACGAGGGGATAAGTAATCCATGGGTCAGAACATGTTTGCCAAGTCTCATCTTAAAGCTATTCACTAGGGGGCTGTGGTCATTTCGGCTGTTAGGTAAGTTCATGTGGAGGGGACTCGTAATGGAGAAAGATAAGAGCGTGTCTGAGAGTTCGTTCGTTGATGTGTGACCTTTTGCGGGTTGTCTAGATGTACTGATAATACGCTCGCGTTAGGATGGTTTGGTGTACTTGATGTATTGTATAACATTATCGGATCACCCCTTGTTCTCCTGTGGCTCAGTGAGAATAATCCCAGATACTGATGTCTATTCTCGTGAACTCTATTGCTCACTTGGTTGTCCGTCTCTGTACTTGGTCCAAGAGCTTTATGTCACTTGAAGGGAGAGGGCTTAACGACATTGTATGTTTTAAGCAATGTTGGGAACAATTCTGGGTTTATCGTGCCAGGATTTTACTCATAAAGCACCGAGTTGCGTCTGCCTTGACTGCATCCCCTGTGTGATCTGAATTAGTTTCTAGTTCCTCTGTGGCTACGAGTCCGAGATCACGCTCTGAGAAGACAATAGGGAAAGGACCTCTATGGAGAATGTCAGTGCTTTGTATCAAGTGAGGCAGAATGCTCATGACGTATTGTTTTGATAGGTTTGTAGTGACCTACTTTTATCAAGAGAACGCGATTGATTTAATGGAAACAATTAATATTATAACCGGTTGCACCAGTGATTGTTTTACTGTACTAATTTGTTCAACTGTACTAAAGACATCCATTGTTCTTCCATTCTTTCTTCCGTTGATTGTGACCTTACACGAACTGACGTTTGCTCAGTGATTCCGCTCATACTCCTTTGGCACGATCTCGGTATTCTTTCGATACCACGAGATCACCAACAAATATACTTCGCTACAACCTCCAATTGCCTTCTGATATCTGGTACGTAACCTTCTTGCAGTGGTGATAATATTCAACCGCGAATCGACGCCACGCTACAGGTTGTTTTGACCCATAGTCTACGTACATTTTCCTACTGTTCTAAGGTCTTCTAAAGCTCAAGTGAATTCTTTTCGTCTTTGATGGACCTCCAGTTCTTTGTGCAGTCTGCATCGATCAGTAACCGCTAGCGCTGATAGTTTAAAAAATAGCTCATTGGCTTTATGTAACACAATCCTGCCCGAAACAATTCAATCCACATCCTGCTAACACTTTCTCTTTGAGCTTATTCGTAGGACCTAGTGTTAGGGTTAGCCCCCAACTGCGTGACTGATCTATACTTATGATTTGTCTAACCTCTAGGTAATGAAAATGTGGTATATTTTTTTCCTTAACAAGCCGGCTTAAATGTTTTAATTGTTTGGATTCCAAAGGTGCTTTTGGTCGGATAACATGAGTCTGTAGAATTATGGTCTACTATGATATTAGTACTCCTCTAATAATAGACCTAATCCTAAATTTGTAGATTTGTCATGATATAACTGCCTAATCTATAAGATCTTACGTGGAAGTCACACCATCGACTACACCAACTCACTGTATCGTATCAATTACCAATACATGATGTAGAACAAGGTTAGGCTAGAGAAAGAACAATATATTTAATATGAATAGAAGATATAAAGTAACATTGAGATGGACCACGCCTGCATGGACGAGCCATGCCATCCGATCAAACCCAGTCCATTCAATTCCTTGTTCGCGCCTTCTCCATTGTTAGGTATTTCTCCGCGTTAAATATTGAATATCTATTTTCTGAGTAGTCTCGTGTTCAGCTTTGTGGATTGTGCGGTTATTGTTCAATCCCACTACACTACTCTCCCACCAGAATCAACGTGATGTTGGTTCGATACCAAATTGGATGGGATCGTCGTGCGCCGAAGGTTACCAAGACTAGGAATAATCCCCCGGGTAATGATAAGCTGAAAGATAAATCAAAAAGAAGGCGGCAGCATCTGGTCGGGAAATACATGTAATAATTTTAAAATATCTGCCTTCATTCTTAGCACACTTAAAGTGACAATTTGGGTGAAGATTATTTGAACTATAAAAAATGAGATTGCAGTAATAATAATAAAACAATGCGTGTTAATAGCCGTTGGTTAATAACTTAACGTTTAGGTAGTAAGTATTTTGTGTTTAGAAATATTAAAAGCAATCAATATTGTAGAAATGTTAATATTGGTATTAGTTTTGGTTTAAATTATGAAACCAATTAACAATTATGCCGGTAACCCGTCCATATGTGATTTCCAATTGCATCTGTATTAGTAGGCTAACTGGAAGAACAAAAGTATTACCATGGAAAAGAATTCCAACTAGTGTTCCAGTTAGTTTGATACGGTTTATTTAGTTACGGGGAGATTTCCTCAACCTCATTTTTACTTGACCGTGATAGAATTTAGTAATACTACTAATACACATAAATGTTCATCAAAACAAAATTTAAATACGTGAGTGATGATTATATGAATTTTGGACAGATAGCTAGGAACAAATCGTTAAACATGAGTGTAATCGTAAGAGATATGCTCTAGACTCAATGTTCTGATCTGTGGCAGACTATTTATTTATATTTATACTTGCTGGCTGATTGGGCATACAAGTTAGTTGCAAGTATGCAGTTTATAATAAGGCGGAATACGATTTAATTGAGATATAGTGGTTATAAGTTATTAAAATCAGTTAGGCCTGTGTCATATTACGAAGTGATGTGGTATTGCAAGATGTATTTAGCTAAATAAGTTTTTACAAGATGATTAATGGTGAGTGATGCTCATGTGATTATCAGGGAGAACATAAGTTGTAACCAGGGGGAGTAAACTCCCAACTCATGTCTATGATAATGGCTTGAACCTTAGTCAGTGTTGGGGTGAATTCGACATTGATGTTCTCAGTTTGCAGGAGATTTGCTCGACTGCTTATACTGATTATTTGCATGCACGATTGTGTCGCTAAACCATCAATAAGACTGACAAGGTTTTGAGATATTTACTGAATGAGCAACTGATAGAGAAACCTACTGTAATCATCTGTAGTGAATGAAGATAAAAGAAAAACAACACTAGTGATAATGATAAGTCAATTTGTTGACCGATTTTGTTAATAGTTTCATTAATTTTATAAATCATATTACGTGATTGTCAAGTTATGACAATGCTTTATGACGATATCCTGAAACTATTATGTCTAACTAGTTATAGTGTTGAATGAGGATTAGTCAGTGGAAAAAAATAGGTATTGTTGCTTTAGGTGATTCGAAATTATCTGAAATTTATAACGTTAAGGAATCCGAGACGCCTAATTTAATTATAAATTTCAATTCAGAAATATTCGTTTAGTGTTAATTCTAGTAGGCTATGGAGTTTTGATTTTAAACGTTTGTTTAGCCAACAGCTACCTGAGGATTTAGTTATTTTACTAGTGCAGTTGATAGTATCTAAATTTTTAACCTTATTATCTAAACTATGTTCGCATTTTAGGCTGCTAATATGATAAACCAATTCATAAACCCAAATACGATTAGCAACAACGACTATGATGGGTTTATTGATAAATGTTAAAGGCGATCCAGATGATTTCTAAATTTAGAAGACATGGAGATAGTGTAACGTATGTATGGGCCAGGTTAACAAGCAGGTTGTTGACGTATATGACGATTTAAAAATAATAAACATGACCAGAAAATAATTTCAAAGTTTAGACTGCTTGTGAAACTTCAGGCAGGAATATGATGCGTTGTAAACATTCCATAAGAAGTTACTGCATTTAGCCTAGGGACACTTACAAATATATAGCAAAAGGAACCGGAAAACATATACATGTTAAGTAAAAAAAATCACTAAGTAAAATAGTTGAACTCGCCTGGATTATTTCTAAAAATTAGATTATTCAGTGGACGACATATATAACGCCATTCGTAAGGAGTAGTAATGATCCAAAAGTATCCAGAATAAAACATGCAGTATGGCAATTAATTTCAGGGTGCTTGATGGTGTTGACGTTTCTGCCACTCGCTCAGATTAGAACAATCGAATGAATTCAGTTAATTGTGTGGTTTTTATTGAACGAGCCATCTAAAATGACCTTATGATTGCAGAAAACCTATAGATGAAACTCACCGTATGTTTTTGGAGAAGTGTCATCCTTGTTGTTTGGCAATGGAACTCGAAAATATGAAATTAGGCAGGCAGTGGTCAGAAGAAAAGATATTACAGGATCGTGCATAGTTTAAAACAGGATGTGTTAGGTGAAGGAACACTGATAATTAGATCCAGATAACTATTTATTCCTTGATTGCATTGTTAGTCAATGTATACTTACGCTATTTACAGGTCATATTTGCTAGAGCTTGATTTTTAAACAAGTCTATGTTGCTGAAGCATGTAAATGCTATTAAAGCTTGTTAACGAACCATCAAAGCTAATTAATTGATATAGATGATCAACTTTTATTATCGGTTGAGCTAGTAAGTTATGTGAACTAATAGATATAACATTACGATAATATATGTGACCATTAATCAAAGGACTATTAGAATAGTGGGTTTACAAAAATAAAATCCGATTGAGAAGGTTAAGGTGGAAATAAGGATTAACAATAATAGGTTGCGTTTCTTTAGTTGGGCTCACCAATGTAGAATTATGGTCTACTATGATATTAGTACTCCTCTAATAATAGACCTAATCCTA